TACCCATAGCGATAATATCTACCACATAGCAGCTAGTTTAACTCAAAATCTCATACAAACAATTCTCGGAAAATCGCCGCACATGCGCCGCATGCAACAACAGCAAAATGTTTGTTAAATCTTTAAATTTTGTATTTTCTTACTTGATGTCTTGATGTCTTGATGTCTCAATCTGCTCTATAAGCGGAAATTTATTTATTTTGTCATACAAAGCGCAAATGTTTTCCATAATTATATATATATATATATATATATATATATATATATATGTGTGAAAGTAAAATTGCTGTCAGCGTTTGTTGGTTTGTTGAGTTTTTAGTTTGCTTGGCCAATTTCAAGGTTTCAGCAGTTATTCAATACACAACATCACACCCTCCCTGTCCCTGTCCCGGCCCTATCCCTGTCCCGGTCCCTATCTCTGTCCCTGTCCCTGTCCCAGTCCCTGGCTCTGTATCGCAAATGTGCCAACATCAACGGGTTCTGGTGTCGTTGCTGTTTCCTGGAATCGGCCAGAACTAAAATGTAAACAGAACCACACAATAAAATATAGTGCATAATTTTCACGCTTTCGTTGCATGACTACGTTTCAAGTTCAACGAAATGCTTACGAGGGGTTTGTAGAGGCTGAGGGGGCACTGTGGGTGGGGGTTAGGGGGTGGCCCGGCCAATGACCAATGTCCGCTAGTTGTGGTCGAGACAATTGCGACGTTGATGACGCACTCGAAACTGCTGAGACTCGCACTTGGCATTCGCGGGCAGCGTGAATGACCCGTGGGCACCGGAAAGTGAACGTTGGGTTGGAGAAGGGGCAGCTTTGTGGTTGGGGGGTGGTTTGCTTGAAATGCGAGTCTTAACACAATTAAAATAGTGCTGGATGGAGCTGGGTGAACAGCGACAGAGACAGAGACAGAGGCAGAGACAGAGGCATGTGGTCATTGATTACGCTTCGCTTGACTGCAATCCAACCGCAATACGCCCATTTTCATTTTCATTTTCTTTTCTAATTTTCATTTAGCAGTCTCGTTGTCAGCGTTTTCTGTCAATATTTAGCAAGGCTTATGCCAGGCATCCCATCAATATATCGACAATTTGTCGCATCGTTTGCTTGGCCCGACCTTTTTGAAATGAGTTCTGTTTATTTTTTATTGTGATGGGATCGGAATGCGAATTCCCCGAAAGAATTAAAAAATATATATTTTGTTATATTTAATTACCCAATCAAATTCAATTTTTTATTTTTATTTGCTTTTCAACTATTATGTATGTACTTCTTTCCACTTTATCTTCATCGCTGCACTGCTAATTATTAACCTTTATCATATAAGCAATTTGGATTTCTTTATTTATATAATTAATATATAAATAATTTCAGTTCTCTTGTCTTCGCATGCATTTGTGTTTGGACATCTTAACTAATTCACACTAATTATTGTTTGATCCTTTGGTGTTTTTACTGGATTTTCCCCAATCCATGCATCAACTCTTGGACCATTTTGTATTTAAATACCGCCGAAAATCTTCTAAATCTATCTTATTTTTTAAATTTACATTTAATATTTAATTGTATTTTCAATTTAATTTAGTCTATTTTTTATTTTGTGTATTTGCTTTGACGACTGACTTTAGTTGTCATTAAATAAATAAATAAATAAATAAATATACTTTTTCTAGCTTACTTTAATTTTCATTGACACTAACATGGTGTGATTGTTCTTGTGCATTATACATATATGCAGGTGCTCTCATGATTTTTCATATAATAACCTAGGCCTTCGACTCGGATTTTTTCTAAGTTTCAAATAATATTGTGATAGCAAATATTTGTAATTATAAGAGATTAAAATAAGGTTTGACTGGCTCCAGATTCAGCTAGCTATTTCAGTTTCAAACTCCTCAGCTGATTGAACGGATGGGATTCAAAACATATTGAAGTGAAAATAAGAAGCAGAAGAAAACATATTTTAATCATTTTAAATAAATATACTGTCAATCCAAAATTGGCTTGAAATATACAAAGCCATCTACAAGAGGAGAGCACCATGTGTGTAAAGGAGGATTTGAGGATCGCATAGAGTGGTTTTTAAGGAGAACTGCAACTCTAACTGCACAATAAACATTTGTTGTAATCAGCTCATATCCTTTATTGGTCTGTGTGGCACTTACAGTTAATAAACATTTTTCAACTCTCCCAAAAAGAAAAAAAGAAACACTTTCAACGCAGCTGTTGCCGTTGACAACGCTTCACTAACCAGATGATATGATATTTGATATGCTGCTTTAGCTCTATCAGTTTAATTTTTTATTTACTCTGCTTTTTGTTGTTTTTTTTTTTTTTGTTTTTGCATTATGGTAAGTTGGAGTGTCTGCTTTCGTTCACTGACCTCTTTCAAAGGCAGCGGCTCAAAGAAAGTTGTTGGGCGCATGCGTCACGGCCAAAATAGCTGAGACTGTGAAAAATGTGTTATAGGAAATTATAAACACAAGCATATGAATGGTCGATAACGATCATCAAACCCAACTCAAACTCCAGCTTCAAACTCAAAATCTCCAACACCAACTTCAACTGTGAGTGACCTCAATATTCAAACAACATTCAAATCTTTTACTCTCAGCGTTCAACTCTCACTTTTGCCGATCGCTGAGGGCTTCACTCCGTTTTTTTCTGGGTTTGGGTTCGTCTCGCAGTTGCGGTGAAAATAGTAAATTAGATTCAGGCATTGTTGTGGGTTCAACAAACCCGCCTGAACTCAATACGGAGCAATGACACCCGTGCTGATGTTGAGGGACCCATCTTCAATGCATTATGATTTTGAATTTTAATCGGATGATTATTGTCAAATTGTGCATAACTTTCTTTAAAGCGCCTCTAAAATGAAATGAAGAAAATACCAACTGGATTCTCAGCTGTTGCTGTTGCTGCTGCTATTGCTGCTGTTGTTGCAACATTTTTCACTTTCTTTTTCTGATTGGCTTTTAAATGTCTCTTTTGCCGTTTTTCGGCATGTTCGGTTCAGTTGGTTTCAGTTAGGTTCGGTTCGGTTCGGATCGGTATGGCTTGGTCCGGCGCATGTTATAGTTTCTCGAGTAGGGTAATTGATGCCCACCTACCCAAAAAAAAAGCATAAAAAAAAACCAATACAATATTGAGTTGAACTTCAACTGTTTGCCATAGCCGAAAAGAAAGTGTTGAACTTTTGTGGTCTTTGTTGTCTATGTCTCAATTTTTGTTGAAATTTGTATTTATCGCGGCGTACATTAAATTGCTTTCAATGGGAAAAGTGCTGCTGATCAACAGATATATTGTACATACGTACATATATATACATGTATATATATCTGCCGATTCGGGGTGTGTACAAAAACGAAAGCGCTAAAAATTGACTATTAGATTTGATGTTGTTTCCGATTTTTGTTGTGTGGCAACTGCAACATGGATGGCCTTAGGCCCGAAACAGCTGCTGTCCGTTGCGGCTTCCCCAGCATGAATTACACGGCATTAAAACAGTTAACAGACAGTTAGTCGTTGCTTCAACCCAATGTCATCTTAAATAATTTTTAGTGGCAACATGTGTAGACTGACTGAACCAGCGAGCTTTAAGCAATGAGTCCAAAACCTGAGCCCCGAGCCCTGAGACATCAGACCTGATCCCTGAGACATGAGCCCTGAGTTTTGAGCCCTAAGCATTGAGCCTTGAGCGAGGGCCATTAAGAAAGTCGCCGGCTGCAACAAAAGCACTCGAGGAAGGGGACAACGAGGGGCATGAGGCAACAGGATGTCGACGTCTTCATTTCCGTAACGCCTGCAGTTTTTATAGGCCGTTTTTATTTTATTTTTTTTGCTCTTGGTCGGTTGATCTTTTTGCCAAGGGTCTTCTCCTGACATTGGTCTCCGCTGCGGCAACACCAGTTGCATTTTTTTATGCGCTTGCATAAAACTTTATTAAACGCTTCACTTGGCCAGGTTGATGTGTCATTGGAGTTTCTGGGTCAGCAGCTCAGCAGCTCAGCAACGCAAACAGCAGTGAAAGTCGAGACACAAGGTGCAATGCTGTGCTTAGTTTTGTGGTCGATAATATTCAAAATAATTATGCGCATATGCACATAAATATTTATTGCGGAGCATATGTTGCATTCACCTTTCTGTAAAATTATTAAAAACATCCTTTTATGTTCAACTCACTATGTATCCATGGGTTGTTCCTCTTTACCTCTTATCAATTCATGTTCTTTAATGACGGCGATTGGGTTACCCATTCAATAAAGTTTTTAAATTCAAAGTCGTTGCTTAGTACAAAGCTCTAATTTTTCACAGAATAATCGATAAAAATTGCGGCAATTAAATACATTATTTTTGTCTTTATCTTACGCAATGATAATAAAATACTTAATTAAAAAATAAGACAAGCTAAAACCAGTTTTCCACGAGAAACCCAATAAAAAAGAAACTAATTTAAAAATTAAAACAGCAGTTTATTTTTATTTTGCTTTCAGCACTATATTTTAATAGATGATTAAAAAAAATTAATCCAACTAATTTATTTGTATTTTCAAATAAGCGCATAACTTTTTTGAACTATTGCCATACATTGATCATATCATTGACCATATCATTGTAAGAAATACAAAATACTCGGGAACTTCTATAATTCTTTCTATATTCTTCTTCAACATACTTTTACGAATTTTGAATGTTGAAGAATGTGGTTTCTAGTGGGAAAGTGTGCAGGTAACTCACTTTAACCACTATAAAGATTCAATAATGTAGGAAATCTTGATAGTAGAATGAGGCTAATTTTAGAATTATTATTAGTATAATATTAGATGGCTAATCGAATCTAGGATGACATATATGAAGCTTAACTTTCTTACAAATGTGAATAGATCTAGTTCTTTAAAGTGTTTCTTTTAATATTTCACGATTTAATTTATATGTGTATTTTCACTTTTTAGTTTGCAACAAAGTTTCAAAGGCTTAAGCCTTTTTAGTTTGTCATTTTTAGTTTGTCATCAACCTTGTTTGGACGAGAGTTCTTTCTCCAATAAGTTTCAATGAATACACCAATCTCGATCCATATTTCGGATTAGTAGCCCCGACTCTTCCTCTTCTAGCTACCAGCTCTATACGAATTACATTTCTAATGAATAATTAAAGCATATTGAAATCAGTACAAACCAAATTAGTTTCATATTAGAAGGTAACCGTTCTTTGTGCTTATTTTAAGCTGTGGTACTGTTTGGTGGCAAGATCGTAAACTGGGTCAGATCCATTCACAAATTTCACTATGTGTTTGCCAGCCTTTTGTAATTATCTAATGAGATGTGAATATGTAATGATGGCCACACAATATCGAGAGTGTTTCTTTCTTCTCGTCTTCAGGTTTTGATCTGAACTTCTGAGCAGCAATGAAAAACAATGAATGAAGAAGCAAACAACAAACAAACAAAATACGATTATAGTCAAAAAGTGAAAACGTTGACAAAACGAAATTGAATAGCAAAAGAAATTTGAAGAATTGTTGGCAACACAATACGTAGTAGCCAGCAACATAAAAATCAAAAGAAAATAACAACAACAAAAACAAGCCAGAAAGAAATACACTTTCGCTTTTGCTTTCAATTTCATTTCAAATGTGCTTAACCGTTTGTCGCTTTGCCGCCTGCCCGTTTACCCGCTAACCCGCTAGCCCGACACTGTTCGTTTACCCGTTTTACTGCTTCTATTTCTTCATCTCTCTCTCTCTCTCTCACACTCTCTATCGCTCTGTCTCTGTCTCTGCAGCTGGGTTGCGCATGCTCGGCACGAGTTTACCCCTCGGAACGTCATGGAATATGAAATTGTGATGATTGCTTTGGATAATAGTCGTTGATGGTTGGCTTCATGCGATTTGTGGCGCTCTCGTTTGGGGCATTGACCTCGAGCGAGGAACCGTTTTTGACAGAATAAAACATAGTAATTAGTAATAGGGCGCCTAAGTCGTTATCGTGTATAATATATAATGTTACTATACACCCACACACACACAATCAATCAATCAATCAATCGTGAATGAGATCAATCGTAATATAAGTTAATTCAACTTGTCCAAAATTGTTTGCATGCTCATGAAAAACGTTTCAATTTTTGAGGTTAATTCGCATAATTCATTGCAAAGACCCTCAGCGGCAATTATGAGGTTATTTATACCTCGTCGGCCTCCTCTGCTGCCGATTTACTTGTTGTTGTTGTTGTTGTCATGTTTACTGCTGTACTGTTTGTTGTTGTATTTTGCGCTCGTTGAACAGCCACTACAACATTGAGCTTGGCTCATGGCGTGGCTTTGGAACAGAGCACACGGCCGGGCCAAGGGAGGGGCAGGTGCGGGTGTTTGCATCGACAACAACAGCAGGCAACTAAAAGCAGCAAAAAAAAACGACACTTGCTAATTGTCTGTGACCTTTTTTGGCATATTTCAGTGCCGAGGCTCTTTGGTCGACGTCGTCGTGCACGCCAAGCGCATAAAATTGGCGCCAAATCCGAGACTAGCCAAAATAATTACCAAAAACTCAAAACTCAAAACTCAAAACTGCAAACCGAACTTCGAAGACCAAAACCCACTTCAAATCCCAGTGCAAGTCGAAATTGTTGTGAATCTGAAAAAGTTTGCAGTTTAATTGGGTTACGGCGCTTTCATTTCGGCGTTGTCAGTTTTTAGTTCATTGACACTTAAGCTGGAGCTCGGAGCCCCAACCCCAGCCCCCTCAAACCAACGCTCCAGACTCTCTCGACTCTTGACGCAGTTGCATGTGGAAAAGAAAGTAAAATTGTACAATTTGTCTTTTGCCGTTGCCTTTGGTTCCGCTCCAGTTACTTGCGGCGAGGCCAGTTGGCTGTCGTCGTGCCTCTTGATGTACCTCTCCCCCTGCCTCCCTACACCCTACACTCACCCCTAGCTGCACAAGCAGCCATTACTCGCTGCCCCCCTGATCACAGCTGCCATCTGAATCGGAATCGGGCACTTGTCGAGTTCAAAAACCTCTTCGAGTTTCACTTTCGCTGTCGGCAGCTGCGTCGGCGCAGTCAGCCAAGTGAAATTTCATATTCACTGGATATACACAAACCTATATACAAATATATATACATATATCAATATATACATAGCTCTATGTATACACATACATTTTAACATTTTAACATTTTACGTGCCGTACCTGGGTTATTGACATCGTTTTGGTTTGGCCAACTCACGTGGCTGGCTGGCATTTAATATGCAAGCCAGTTTTAGTCACATTAAATTCAAATATTATGATTTTTAGATAAACTTAAATTGTTACAATTTATTTTATAGAAAATAAAATTGAAAGTAATCGCAAAATTTGTGTTACTGAAAGTACAAAAACGAAGCTGAAGTCGAATCCCGATCGTACATAGAAATATATCGGAGTATATAAAAAATAATAAAAAAAACACTTGAACTGCAGCAAGCAAACACCATTTTTAAAACATATTAAAAAAAAAACAATTGTTCAAATTTCAATAATCATCCATAAATTACTTTTAACTTATTTGTGTATATTTGTTAGAGCGCAGCTCAACTTATTGTTCACAAAGTACATTTTTTTTTAAATTGAGGGTCTTTCCAAAAGCCAGGGAATTCTCTTTCCTTAATTCTGTTGGGGATTTATTTAAAATTTAGTTTGCAGTATGGCTTTTACATAGCTGCAAAGAATTCACCGTTGTTCCTTTTAGATTTTACTACACATTATTACTAAAATATTTCACATATAGAAAAAATTTTAGAAAATATAATTTGAAATCACTCACAATATCCCAGCGATTCGAACTCGAGTAGAAAGTGTTTTCTTGATAATAGAAAACATTTCTAAGAAGCACAAATGAAAATTAATATCATGGAGAAACTAATTTAAGAATTTTTTTTGCAAATATTTAATTAACCCAAATTGTACGAGGCGTGGCTTGGGGTCTCCACCTTAAGCGATCCGAATAAACTATGTGAAGATAAAAATCATGAGATCAAGTCCATGTCATTTGGATATATAATTGGAAACTCCCATCTAAGTCCATTTAGCGCCTGTAGCAAATTGAAATGGGTGTGCTTGACATTAAAAGTAATATGGAAAATGCATTGTATTTTATTTATTCGAGCATTGCCTTGGCTAAAGGTTGCCTGATGTTGTCGCCGCCACAAAACAAAAGGCGTTCAGTTGATTTTATTATTGTTTCATTTTTGTTGTATTTTTGGTTTTTGTTTTTTACATAAACCTAAACTAAAAATGGCAGATTGAATGTTGGAACCTCCAAATAATTTATTGTTTTCTGCTACTAGTCTGGCTAGGTTAGTCTGGCTAGCAGGCTGCTCATATTGGCTTTTATATTTTTATGTTGTTTTTTTTTAACGCATTTTGATTTTTATTTCATTTTCAATGCTTGCTTGCTTATTGTATGTATTGAAATTGGGTCACTTGCAAAAGTCGCGTGCTTGCTGCGATTTTCAGGGGCGTAAATAAAACGCCTCAGTGTCGCGCCAGAAACGCGCGCGACTTTGTCCGCTTGTCAGCTTTGAACTTTGCGCGTTTTGTGTGTGTTTTGCATTTTTGCTGTACGTTGTATTGTCGTGTGGTGTTGTGTATTTTATGTTCATTGTTTCTCTTTAATGCCGCTTTGGCCCGTTGCACAGCCTACTTTGCTTGGCCCCCATTAGACTGACAAATTTCTCCGCCATTTCACCGACGCGACGCATTTCTGTGGCGTTTTGTTTTGTTTTGTTTGTTGCTGTTGCTGTTGCTGCTGCTGCTGCTGTTGTTGGTGCAAAAGTCCGTTGACTTTCGTTTTCATAAGCGAAAGTGTACTCCATTTATTTTAAATTTAAAGTTTTTTTCAGTCTTACTTTCTTGTAGTTTTGTTGCATTTCTTTAACCCGTCAGCGACTGAAACGGGTTTTCAGCGTGCTTTCTGGGTCAACGAAAAGTGTGTGTGGAAAGTGTTTCTTGTTGATTTTTACCCCCCCGACACTGCCCCCCCCCCCCATTCACCCCTCCCTCCTTAACTCTAAGCGCCTCCTTGTCGGTAGTCGCTCATATGGAAATGATTGGGCTGCACTCAGCGATGCCAAACAAAGGGCACGAGTCTCAATTATTTGATTTTGAGCATTTAATTATTAGAGAGACCCCCGAAATGAGTTGAGTGAACTGCAAAACATAAAGGAGAGAAACTTTGAAAATACTCGCATCAAAGCAAAGAAAGTGTATTTCAAATCTGGGTCGCTCAGTGCTCCTCACCCCCTCCCCATCTCCCCATCTCTTCGCTTTATATTATTTTTGTGATTGCCGTGTATTCGTTGTAGTTGTAACAAATCGCTTGTTGCTGCTTGTTGCCATTGCAGTCGTTGGCTGTAACTGCTTAATAGTGGCAATAAGTATTGCCAACGAAAAGTGAAATTATTCATATTTATGAGTCTTAGGCTAAACGTGCAAGTTGAATTAAGCCAACGACTATTAGCTACCGGTGATGCTTCCTAAAACCGTAAAAACCAATTTATTACAGTCGAATATCGTTCAGAGATGCTCTGATATTGTGGTCTATTCGAACAGGCCCCAGTGTGCATAGTAATCAAGGGATTAGCTGTGCGTGGTGGTCCACACTGAACTGGAATTCACGCATCTGTGTAAACTACAAAGGCTCGATTCCACATGCATCTACCCGACTGCCCCACAACATTTTTCACTGCAAAAATCCCATCACATTAAAATAAAAAAAACGTTTATCTCAGGCTCACCCAAGATTATATATTATTTAGTATAGGCATTCTGATGAATTACATTAAAATGCTGTTCACTGCGCATTGAAGATGTTCTGCTTATTTGCTGAGGTTCAAAAATATGAGTCTCTACAGGAATAAACGATTATTTGTGGTAAAAATTACACGCCAAAATTCTTCTATTAGATGCAGCTCTTATTAAATAGTAGTAGTCTTATGGCTTAGGAAAGAAATGTTTCGAGGCTAGGTAGTTTAAAGATTAGGGACTGTAATTCAGCGAAGTTTTATTTACTTTGTTAATTTGAATCCATAATAGTTAGAAAAAAGGATTCAAATATATCAACTTTGTCAGTCTGATGCAGCTCAATACCTAGCAATTTTTACTTATATTAACAACCTTTGTAATTTTCTATAGAGACTATGAAATCAGAGATCGGTAGTATAGCCTCTGTCTGAAATCCAATTCAATTAATGCTTTTTTCATGAAAACTTGTATATTTTGTATATTTTTTAACAATATTTTCTGAATCTATAAAACATTTCTATTCCCGATGCATTTATTTATTCTCCACAACGCATCTATAAAAATGTTTATATTTACAAATGTTTTCGACTTCAGACGCGAATCTAATTAAGGGCATACAGATTAACAATGTTTTCGAAAATTGTATTTGTCACATCATTTTTTCTATACAGAGAATATTTTCTTTTAAAATGAAATTGTATCTCTTATTTTATATGAATTTTCATATTATTTATGTTGTATAAATTGAATACATTTTATAGAATTTATTTACTTAATTGAGGAACAGATTTATTAAAGTAAATATATTACTCATAAAATCTTCTCATTGTAGGGACTTATTGAGAATCACTATTTCCATCAAGTTATACAACTTTTTATGTAGCGCTAAATCAATCATTTTTTCCAATAAAAATAAAACAAAATAATTTCCTGGTTTCGTCATCAGTAGCACTAGCAAAAAGAGGACTTTGAAGTCAAGGAAATCAAGGGAAGTATTATAATCAAAGCAAATGATGAAATAGTCACGCAATTCTAATTTAGTGAATGGTTATCAACTAAGTCCCGGAACTTTCCACTTTTAATCAGAAGTAATTCTTATTGGCCTCAGAATGTTAGAGATAATATCATTATCATTTTGGCAAAAGTAATTGCGTTTCAGGAATATTGATAAAATATAACAATAACAGCAACAAGAACAACAACTAAAACAATGCTGGCTGCGCAGTAAGCATTGTGAAAGTCCACATTAAATAATTATTACAAGATATCTGTCATAGTCGAGGTCTGGGACTGGGCTTGGGACACCCTGGTTTGACCCGACAAATTGATTTTCTATTTATGGTTATTAGATGCTTGTAGAGTATATGAAATTTGTCACGAAATATCTCTCAGTGATGAGTGAGTTATGAAACTTGTTCCAACAAGGCTGCTGAATTACTGTTTCACATAACAGAAAATGTGTGGACTAAGATCAAATTGAAAAAGTATCTGAAAGGGTATCGAGAAGTCGTTACTCAGAACCCAAATGTGCTTTGTTTTTGAGGAAAATGACGCAGTTAGCAAAAGCTGAGCTCGCCACCCCCAAGGAAAGAGCCCACGATATATTACATTTGGTTAATCAGCAACTGCTGAAACAGGATAAATACAACCTTGAAATGTGGGCAAATAAACGAGACAGTGGAACAGGATTGAGCAGCGAAACGCACAAAGGATCAAAGAGTTTATGGTATATGCTGATGGATGTGGTATGCACACTCTAACTCTGCTCTGAAGGTATTCATTTGCTTGTCATTAACCTCTACTCACTTTTTATGACCCACGCATAAACATAAGCCGGTCTAGGTTCGGTTCGGTTCGGTTCGTTTCGGTTCGGTTCAGTACCGAATAGGCTCTAACTCGGGGGCAACTGATTGAATTGCGTTGCGGGTCTCGTTTTGTTTTTGTTGCTGCTCCGTATTATCATAACATAACCTTCGGCTTATTTTTGGTTAACTTTATGGAAGCTTGTGCAACCGCCACCTTCCCCCTTCCCTCTGTTGCCCTCCACCCGCTTTCAGCCCACATACATAAATACATAATACATAATTGCTGGCGAATGCGGCGTATACGTGACGGGTTCTTTAACGCGCCGCATCCTTGGCACCGTTTTGACGGCAAAAACATGAGCGCAAAGCCAAAACACCACAGTATGGAGTAGAGTAACATGATACTAACTCTCATAAACTGTCGACATCCTGCGAGTTGGCCTAAATTTTGTAAAGCTCTGCTTTATAGGACCATCAAGGAAAGCTTAAGAGCTTTCCATTTACATTTGATTGCAGATTTCATGCGTGCATTGAGAGCAATAGATAACAAAGACGCCAAAAAGGGGCGAGTGGCAAGTGGCAAGTTTCCAATAATGTTGCGGATTAGTATTAGGTGCAGGTGATGTCAGTCACCATGTCAAATAAATTATTACCATTAAAGT